AAGAAATATGCAAATTAAATTCGAAACTCATGCAGGCGGAACAAGTCGACTTCTCGCGGCGTTCGCCGCTCGTCTCGCGACTTCGTCGCTTAAAGAAGTCGACTTGTGGCAAGTCTATAGATTTACGTGCTTTGATCAAAACGTGTTTTGATCAAACTTTTTATATAGTTTTTTTTTTGTTATTACAGTTTTATGATTCACGCCTCGTTTTCACTCGAAAAATGTAGTAATGTTACTGCATGTGTCTGTGCCCTGTGGCTTCAACTGATTTGGCAAAGAAGTCAAAAATATATACAAAATTAATTAGGCATGATTGTCTTACATGTAATTTTCAAGTATATTCCGCCAGGAGCTTATAATTCCGTTTTCGTGGCAGGTGGCCCCAATGCAAGTGTTGGTTTATTGAGTTTGTTTTTTGCACATTCGTTAGAAAAATAACAAAAATAATGCGAATATAACCTGTAAATGAGAGATCATTGTCAGTCTTATTCATCAAAACGGTTGGATCACCGGACATCCATGATGATGAAATCAACGATTGTGACGATTTTGATGATATGGTCGATGTCTTGGCATAATCTTTATACGACAGTACATGGAGGTATGGAGATATTTTGGGATTACAGTAGCGGCGTTTATAAAATATATAATATTCTTGCTTCAGTTCTGAGCCATTTTTTAAAGCTCAATGACACGTTATAGTCAGTGGCTTATATATCCAACCATTTTTTCATTGAGCACTATAATCCTAACTATAACAGGTAATATATTAAAACAACGTCAATCTACGTTTATCTTCACTAATACATTACAATATATATAGATGTTTTTAGTGTCCCATGCACGCTCGTGACAAACTGAATACAGTTACCTACTTACTACGTTTCATGTTTTTTATGCGTTGTCAGATTTAACGGGATATACCGTACACTCCGACTTCCTCAATAGCGGGTAAATTTAACAATTGCTCTGATGGTTCATGCTGTAGCGTGTGCATATCGAGTTATGATGTACGCAAGAAGTATGGAGAACGCGTAAGAGTTGTTCTGCGAGGCGCAGGATTCTTAAGTTGTCTTCTCAATCCAAGGGCAATAAAAGTGGTGTAAAGTTCACATCCATATGAGTAAGGAAACACAGCAAAACGCTAATTGAAATAGTTAAAAAAAAAAACCGTATCGAAACACCTAAATTGCAAACAAGTACGTGCTAGGATCATTTCTTTAATTTTCATTTCTATTGAGTATACCTCCCGCGGTTTATGTATGATTTTATTCATATACATAAACGTGTCTATGCCGTTTTTCCGCTTTTAACCCTAACCTAACCCAAACCCGGGAGTAAGCGACACAATTTGGCTACCGTTATAGGGGAAAGCGCGCGTTGAAATCCGTGTAGTTGGTTGGTCGACTTCAAAAAAGGTACATTTTTGATAGCGAAAATTTTAATAAGACAAGATTTGGGAAAACATTTTATGAGAAATATTAAACGCGGATAAAAGCATGACGTTTCGACGACTCCATGTCATCATTTTCAAATGCAAATTTTTGGAATTTTTACAGGTATATATCGTAAGCGGACTAAAATGTGAATAATACAATGCAGCGAAATTAACAGTAAATAATACAAGAAAGATTGTTCATAGATTAAAACAAAAGGCAAAAAACAAAAAAAACAAAATTAAACAACATTTTTTAAGAAATTAAATTTTTTTTAAGAAATTAAAATTTCAAGAATGTCTGTATAAATTTGTCCAATTTGCGCGACATCTCGAATTCAGCTCTGAACTGTCGCGCGGGCATCTCATTAGTACCACAGGCAGCCCAGACTAACGATAAGAGAACACGATATATGGGAACACAACGGTTTTGTGGTAGATGATATAAATTCGAATGTTCCGTGAATAAACAGACTTATCCTGCATGTTGCTGTCACTCGTAACTCGCCGAAATCGCTTCAAACCGGGGTAAGCTAGTTCATTCACAGCACATTAGAATCTACGTTCTAAAACAAAAACTGTTGCGTTCCCATACAAATATTATAAATCAATTATTTGCAACACAACATCGCTTATGTTCGTGTTCTCTTATCGTTAGCTTGGGCCGCCTGTGTTTTTACAGCCCATAATGATGGGTTTCCTGGTCAAGTCCCCATTGATTTACTAAAATACTATACCATTGTTGTCCAACTTAACTCTATTCTGTTGCCTGCGCTTCTTTTTCGTTCGTGAACCTGGGGGGGGGGGGGGGGGGGGGGGGGGGGAGGAGAGATAGTCCCCCCCCCTTTATATCTCCAAAAGTATTAACGCTATGAAAATTAAACTTATATGGTGTGTAAAGCATCCAAAAATGTTTATTTAGTGGCAGTCACGTGTCAATCATGACGTCATACACGCAGACATGATGTCATGATTAAAAAAATCCGCCATATTGGATCCGCCATCTTGGATTTCAAGATTTTTCAGAAAATCTCCAAATTAATTAATTGGATTTGAAAAAAACCGAAGAGGTATAAGGATGTAAAACTGTAAAGATTTTGAAAGAAACTCTTCATAAAAAGCGAAAATATCATGAAAACTGAAAAACACCAAGTTTGGGTAAAACGACCTGTCAAAACTTGGTTGCCATTGAAACGTTAAGTCACATGATTAAACAATGGACACCAAAATTTTTCCCAGACAGTTTTTAAGGAAAAGTCTGGCCTCGATTGCTTGAATTCTCTTTAAATACGATAAATTTGAAATCAGCGCGGGGACTTTCTGCCCCTCCCCCCTACCCCAGGTAGAATAGGGTTAATATGATATTAGAACGTTTTCAGGCTCAAATTGCAAAAACATAAAATAAAATAAAACAATAAATTCACCATCATTGCTTTCTTAAAATAAGAACGTACGTTTAACAAAAAGGACATTCTTTCATAAAGTTCTGAGATCAATATCGTGATAGGTAAAGAGTAGACTGCGAGCAGTCGGTCTTTTTTCCAATCTCCTATAAAAACATTAGGAAAAGAAAGAGACTGCTCGTAGTCTAGGTAAACAGGCTTGTCTCAGCTAATCAAAGCTAAGATCGATAGGATGGTGCAAAAATGTATTGTTTCATTCCCTTGACAGATGAAGAATGCCGTACACTGTATTATTCCCAACCAGTTCAGAACAAAGCTCTAGACAATCACGTAATTATGAAAATGAACATAACAAGGCAAGACGTCTGTGAGATCAGATGTTTCATTGAGCCAAATTGCTTGTCTTTTAACATTGGACCTCTGGACAGTAACCAGCAGTTCGCGTGTGAGATCAGTTGACTCCGATGACCTACGACATCCGGGAGATTTGGTTGAACGGATTGGATTCACGTATCGAGGAACGAAGGTATCAGTCTAGACCAGTCTCATCAGTCCCCCCCCCCCCCCCCCCCCCCGGGTAGGGGTGCATGGACTGTTTTGTTTCCGTTAAAAAGGAAAAATTGCTTTGTTTTGTTTATACAACCTCGAACTGAGCTCTGCTTTGTTTATACAACCTCGAAGCTCTGTTTTTGACAAATCCACATAGAAGTCAGTACAGTGTATCTGTGATACAACTAACTCGTTCAGTGCCAAAACAGTGTTCGACTCGTGAAGTTACATAGCTCAGTGATGCCCTTTCATTAGATCCGATGCTTAACTTAATAAAATGCAAACGTTTCCCTTTGAGTCTACACTGTTACCGCCTTAAATTAATCGTAATTTCAAGTTTTATGAGTCTTTTTTCAATTATAGAATAGTTTACTGTACATGTCTACTACATCAAACCGTTCCTTTCTAAAGACAATACAGTCAAACCTTCCATAAGCGTCACCCTTGAAGAATCCTTGAGTTTAGAACTGAAGTGTCCACTAAGATACGATGTCAAAAATGTAGTGCAGTACATGTTGCTGGGACCATGACTATGTGACCCTAATAAAATTGAAAACATTTCAGATGTGCTATTTTTTTTTTAACTTGCTTTATCAGAGCCCTTGTAGCACTGGTGCTTGCGTAGAGAATAGCACATGTCAAGCTGGATACACCAGTAAAGGATACCGATGCATTTGTCCGAAAGGATACACTGGACTGAACTGCAATCAAGGTGATTTGAAGCATAAAAAACCCTCTGAGATTTACTTTGGGATGCTCAAACTTTCGGCTGTAGGTTTACCCTGACGAATGTTCAAATATATATCTTCTTTGTAATGATATGTTTTCCAGTTTTCCTAATCAATATTGCATTTTTTCTGACGTCTTGAGAAAATAGTGAAATCCAAGATGGGGGATCCAAGATGGGGGATTAATGACGTCATTTGACAACATTTGTCGTGATATGACATGATACGGAGCAATTTCAGTACTATCTTTTAAATATAATTAAAGGCATACTACTTTCAATATGTCTTATAATAACGAAACCCAAGGGGGGGGGGGGGGGGGGGAGGAGGGGTTTCATCCATCCCCATCCATCTATCCATCTATCCATCCATCCTAGGCATATATTTAAAGAAATTAAAATTCCGCACGTTGAAAAGAAAAGGACTAGAAATATTAAAGGAGACCTCCACTGTTGGAACAAATTACAGTTAAATTGTTGGAAATAGTGTCAAACTGAACATTTGTTGAAATAAACTGGAAAATCGTTCACGTCACGGAGAATCCATTTTGGGGGTTAAATTTCTCACACGCCGCCTTTTACATGACGTAATGTGGTTGCCACTATTATCAGGAAACAATAGTTATTTTTATTGTATAACAAAGGGCGACCATGAAATCAATGTCATGAAATCCATGATGGTGGCGAGCGGGTACTTTTAAAACCCCAAATGCCAGAGATTTGTAGCCAGTTTTACTTTGTTTTCAACACATTTTTCGTTTAGATTATTTTTCCATCAATTTAATGATAACTTGGTAATAAAAAGAGATGGTAAATTTTGAGCTCGGTAAATGAAATAAGACAGAAATATTTCAGTTTGTCACGAGTCTGGTACAAATAAAAAATGAGTCCCCGACGGGAGAGTCGAACCCATGACCTTCTGCACACCGGTTGGATGCTCTAACCACTGAGCTACATTTCAGACTCGTGGCGAGCTAGGCCATTTACTAGGTTCATTATGACACGTGTGCTTACATGCTGCTAGGATCAGCAATGTCGAAAAGCGTCATGTGTGGTAAACTATTAATATATTATTTGTAATTAGTATTTTCAATTTAAGTAATATATATAAGTACATTATTTGTAAGTCCTGCTGCTTTTACCTTGTCTAAATAAAGTTACTAAACTAAACTAACTTGTTCCAACAGTGGATGATTCATTTAACTTGATCGTACCCCTATATTGTTTTCCAGCCGTAAATGACTGCTCTGACACGCCCCAAACAACTGGAATCTACCATATTCTTAATCATGGTCTGGAAACCATTCCCTGCGTACTGTGATCACACAAATGACGGAGGAGGTATTTTTAATGTTAACTTTTGAAAGTTGTCTGTTTTAGTTGTCAATTGTTTGATCATGTGACTTGGCAACGGAGTTGATGATTTTATTAAAAAATGTTCACAATTATCGAATCCTTAATTTTCCATTTTTCAAATCAAATTTGGAATTTTTTTAACATTGATGAAAAATCTTGAAAACCAAGAGGATCAAAGATAGCGGATTTTTTGAATGAACGACGTCATTTTGCCGTGATATGACGTAATAATTGACTCGTGACTGACATTAAAATATACATTTTGGATGCTGTGCGCACCATAAAGTTTCATTGCCAAAGCGTGAATATTTTTCAGGGGCACCCAACGGATCGTTTCGGTGGAATATCTGTTCGAAAGGCCTATAATCGCCTAAGATATTCGGTTAAGGAAATGGCATCTCGAACTTTCTACATATGGGAAAAGTAATGCCTTTTGTTTTCGGAATATAATATAAAAATGTCGTTTTGGGTACAAAAACAGGTCAGCTAGGATTTTCGGAAAGGCAAATTCAGCTCATAAATTCGGAAAATAGATTTAAATCCCTAAAATTTTCTGATGTGTGAAAGTTTAGCTAACGTATCCGAACATATATACAGTTTTCTTAGCGTTTAAAAATCTGTCATTAACTCTATTCTGCCTGGGCTTTTTTTTTTTCGTTCGTGGGGGGGGGGGGAGGGGGGGGGGGGGCAGATAGTGCCCCCCCCCCTATGTATCTCGAAAAGTATTGACGCTATGAAAAATGAAACTTACATGGTGTGTAAAGCATCCAAAAATCTTTATTCTAGTGACAGTCACGTGTCAATTATGACGTCATACACACCATAATGACGTCATATATTAAAAAAATCCGCCATCTTGTATTCCTAAATATGGACTTCTAAATTGTTCAGAAATGTCAGAAAATCTCCAAATTTGTTTTTGAAAAATCAAGAAAAATATAAAGATGCTAAAAACGGCAAAAGAGTTTGAAGGATTTCATCGTAAAGAGCAAAAATGTTATGAAAATTAAGCTAAAAACACAACAAAATTTTGGGAAAAACGATCTGTATCTCGAAAAGTATTTGTGCTATAAAAATGAAACTTATGTTGTGGTGTATAAAGCATCCAAACATGTTTATTTTAGTGTTAATTACGAATCAATTATGATATCATATCACGCCAAAATAACGTCATACTTTAAAAATGTCCCGCCATCTTGGATCCGCCATCTTGGATTTTTTAAATTGTTCAGAAATGTCAGAAAATCACCAAATTTGATTTGAAAAATCGAAAACAATATAAGGATGCAAAAATTGCAAAGATTTTGGAAGAAAACTCTTCGTAAAAGCGAAAATCTCATGAAAACATAAATTTAAACTGAAAATACCAAATTTGGCTAAAACGGCCTGTCAAAACTTGGTTTTCATGGAAACATCAAGTCATGTGATAAAACAATTGACAAACCAAAAATGTTCCCAGATAATTTTTAGGAAAAATGATAAAGTTTGGCTATGATTGCTTGAATGCTCTTTACGTACGATAAATGTGAAGTCAGCGCGGGCACTTTCTGAGGTGGGGGGGGGGGGGGGGGGACTTCTGTGCTTAACTATTGGCAAGGCACGAAACGTGACACAAGCTAAGTAGGAAAGTAATATACAAGATAAATTTTGATACGACGAGAAATGAAAGCATGAGGTATTTGAATTCCTAACAGTTTACCAGATAACAGTTTCCTATAAAAGTGAGCAACGGCAAGCACTGCAAAATTGTGATTAATTAGGTAATCTGCGCCGTCGGCGTTCCGTAATAGCAGAATGTTTCTTTTTCTTTCTGTTTGGTCGCAGGCGCCCCTGATTCTTGTGTGTAAAAAATGCATACATTTCCTGTTTGACAGGTTGGACAATGATATTCAAAGTGGTCGGTGGCGTTTCTCCACCGGAAGTGGGTCAGCTATGCAAATCATCCTCCGCACAGTCTGAAAATGTCACAGATACGCTGGACACGACTAAAAACTATCCTTCACACTACAAGAACCGCATTGTAATGAACTGGCAAGTGTTTAATCCTCAAGAGGTTAGAGAAGTATGAACTATATGTGTTAATGTAACATAGATATATGTGTCTTATACGTTGCCAGAAATTACATGAATGCAAATTTCGCAATAGCGCGCATAATATGTTGAGAACGGAACATAAATTATCTTCTTACTACCGTGAACTATGAGTTTTATAAAAAACAAAATTGATCAATTGTCTGTTACAAAGAGAGAAGATCAATAGTCATACAAACGTCTGTAAATGTGGCAAGTTTTGGATGCATCATCAGTTTCCTTTCAAATTTGGCGCGATCACCAAATTCTATATATGTTCCTTGTAGTTATGATTCTTCTATTAGATCGGGTCACTGAATGCATATATATGTAAACAGCGTCAGGCGTCAGCGAAGATCGTGGCTGCTAAGCCACATTTGTTGTGCTGGCAAGTAAGATGGCGACGGCAGCGACTCGTTTTGAACGAAATTTTCGTTTATTCTAAAGACATCACTCCAAGTTCAGGATATTCAAGCATTGGGAATTTAGGTAAATGACTACCAAGACGTTTGGACGAAAACCTTTTCAAGAAATGATTTTAACGCATTTAAAACTCGTCAAAACAAAGGTGTTGCGTGGCGAACAAGCCGGGCAGCCGACGGTGTTTGTGTCGGATGGAGGGACTGAAATTGCTTCTCTTCAGAGCTAAAAGCTAATTATTTCAGGAAGATAACTACTTCTGCTCATGAAATCAGCAATGATTAAACAAAAGTACCTGATGAATGTCTTTTTCGTAGTGTTTCTTTTGTGTATTTTACTGCTTAATTTGATATGTAAACTACGGTAAATATGTAACTACGGTAACATGGCAAGCACTTGGGCGTGTGTTGTTTTCAAGTTTTAGCTCGTAATTTGTAGTTCTTGATATTCACCTTAGTAAATTAGACTAAAACAATTATTCGCCTCAGGTTCAGTGAATATTGGTGAATATTTACCTCGACTTCGTCTCAGTAAATATTCACCAATATTCACTTCGCCTTCGGCGAATAATTGTTAAATATTCGTATTCTCACGGTTGGACTGGAACTAGCTTGCAATCGAGGCTCATGCGGGGGGATATCTCGATTGCAAGCTTGTTCCAGTCTAACCGTGAGAATACGAATATTGTCTATTGCTTTCAATAATCCTCTGAATCACTGCTCCGAACAGTACTAACCGAGTTCGACACTCGACATCCAGGCTCTCGTGAAGATTCTGCCGTCACTAGCGACAAAATATTTCATCCGTTTTGCTTCTTATAGATGTATCCAAGCCTGTTCAACCAAATTGTTTTCATCTTGCTGGATTTGTGACAATTTTTTCGTTCAAACATCCAGTTTAGATGCAGATGTTGAAAATTGACTGTGAGCGATCGACCAGTGAATCAACAACCGCGCGAAAACAAACCAGTGACCGTCAGCTAGCGTACACCCATGGGCAAATAGTGTACGCTCATTAACCAATCAGAGCGCGCGCTTCACTGAAGTTGTGCTATAAAACGTATTGGTTGTGTTTATTCAACATTATATAATTGCTGTGTAAAACTTGCGCCGTGATTGGTTTAGAACTGTCATCTATTAGAGTACAGACGGACGAATGACATCACGAATGGCGGGAAAACACGGGCGGGCGCCCCGCTCCAACAAAACTTTTCATCAAACTGGAAATATTCCGTAGGGAATTCAATGTAAATCAATTAATTTGAATTTTAAATCGGATGTTGAAGCTTGGCTAGAACTTGGAGGCAGATATGTTGGACTTTAGCTCATTGTAAACAGAATCCGAGAAATTAGTGCGGGATCATCGTTCGCCATGAAGCGACTTGCAGTAAAAATAATTCAGATTGTTTTTCCTCATATCAGGAAGGAAATGGAGGTAGTTTCTAAATATTTGTTTTTTGAAACATTCGCTGAGTGGAGCTGTAGTTTATTTTAAGCCGTTTAGTTTTCACAAAGTTTAATTTGGATACATGGGAACACTGTGGCCTAAACTGTTGACATAATTTTTGTCGGCTTATTTTAATAGCGTACATTCAAGTGAAAATCTGAAGCGAATATCTCCGAAATTTTAAAATCGAATATATTTTATTTTCCGTGGGTCTATACTCTTCTAATAGAGTACAGAAGACGTCAAAATGTGACAAGAACAACAGTGACAACGTGACAAGAACACACGACTGCGTCTCGTGGATCACTTTAGTTGTTTTTGTCACGTTTGACGCCATCTGTACAGACGCATGGCCTAATAGAATCTATGTGTTAAAATGACGTCACAAAAAGCATGCCCAAAACGTCCACTTGCCAAAAATTAGCTCTCCTTTGCAAGTTGCGGCCGAGATATGGGCACTTCAGGTTTTTGTTTCTCCATAAAAACCTTCTAATTGTGCGTCTGTTCCTTCAGTTTTAGAACAGGCGCAAAATTAGAGAGGTTTGTATGGTACGGTACCAAACTTTTGAACCTCTGTATATTTTGTTCTATTCGTGCTAACAAGTTGAAATTTTGTGGCTGATCATACAGCAGTAATTGTTATCTAAATATGGAATTTTGAGGCTTGATAAA